TATAGTGTATTGCGTGCCTATTGATCAGATTGATTTTATTCTTGACAAATTTAATGCTTATCACCGGAGATTACAATTCACAATGGAAGTTGGGGGGAACTCTATTAATTTTTTGGACATAAGTTTAATTATGGATGATAACAGATTGATTTTTAATTGGTACCAAAAACCTACCTTTTCGGGTAGGTATTTGAATTATTGGTCTCAGCATCCAATTTCCCCAAAAAAGGGCTTAATATATAATCTTGTGGACAGAGTTTTTTTCACATCCGATCTTTCACAAAAAAAATTGGGAATTGTTGGTAAACAGTTTACTAAATAATGACTACACCCATTGAAATTTATTTTTAAAACAATTAATGAAAGGATTAAAATATTGATTGGTAGATCCAATTCAACGACAAAAAAATCAGTTGTCAAAGCACAAATAGAAAAGGTAAAATGGTTTTCCATTCCGTTCATAGAGAGGATTTTCAAGAAATTTCAGAATTTGGTAAATGGTGTTTGCAATAGAGTTACTTTTTTCAGTCTAAATAAATTAAAACAATTCATTAAAGTTCACAAAGATCCTTTACCTAAAATGATGAAAAGGAATATAGTTTACAAAATTAATTGATTAATTACATTTAAGTAACTGCAACTAAATTTTCAGTTAAATCATTCATTACTTTTAATTTCGTTCATAACCACGAGCTTCATTTGCATGTAAAGGAAGCTCGTGGTTACATTTCTAACAGTGCACGTATCACAGTGTATAGAAGCGTATTATTGTTCTTGAGAGATTGACTTGCGTCTATTTTAATCGTGCAAATTAAAATTAAAAGATAGCGATGTATTTTACTGTGCAATATTGTATCAAATGGATTTGGATTTTTGTGAGTTGCTTGGTTTCGTGAGGTGAGTTGATGGAGTTTATGTTGCTCCCTTCTTTATTAATTTCTTTACTGTTTTTTAAAAATGTTAAAACTGTTTTTAGTTTGAGTTATTATTGCCACTCAGCCAACTAACTGTAATGGACATTGTACTCACGATCTCACGAAATCATGGTAATCGCACATACGACAATTGCGAAAATTTGGGATAATGACTGTGATTCTTAATATGCTGTATATTTTGTTGCGTTGTTGCTGAAGATGACTCAAAAACGGAGTCGAAACGTACGAAGTGAGAGGATATTTTTATTGTAATAAACTCTCTCGATATTTTAACAACCAGAGGTAGACTCCTATTGTCTTATTTACTAATCTTGTTTTATTGATTGATTTAAGGAGTTTTAACTTGTTATAGTTATTATTTTATTATTATTATTTAGATTTGTTATATAATGTGTAAAATTATGTAAAATTAAGTATAATTACATATAGAATATGTTTAAATATATGCATATTTCATATATAGGATGTCCCCGACCTACGAGATCACTTCTCGTGAGCAGGTAGAGTGGACTGAACTGAGTTGGAAAGTCTTTTACCATTTAACAATTTTTGCTAATACTTTATAGGAGATATTAATTTCTAAATATATTAAATATAAGCACGTATCGACGAGGACTACCACCAAGTATACGCCCATTGGTGGCGGTCGCTTATAAATGGTAAAGGACTTTTCAATTCAGTTCAGTTCGCTGTACCAGCTCGTGAGAGGCGATCCCGTAGGTCGGGGACACCCTGTATATAATTATATATAATTTTATACAATTTTATATAACTAATATGAAATTACATAATTTTGTAAAACTTTTTTTCTCCCAGTGAAGCAAATGATAGCACTTGTACAAAGTTAAGAATTAGAGAAGAAAGACGATTTACAGTAATAAAAAATTAAGTTTCCGATATGAACATAAAATAAAATGTATAAGTATCTTGTACTTATGTATCTAAAACTTAAAAGATATCGTACCAAAAAGTAATTAGATACGGATACAGGTATCTCTGCCCGTAAGGATCTAGGTAATGCACTTAAGTACAACTGAAGTATCTAAATACTGTATCTGAATATTTTTACCTATAGATATGCTCCAACACTGGTGCTGATATATAATATTATTAATAACGTCTTATAATATATAAATAATATTTAGTATTTTATTAATAATTTGAGGAAGAATTATTAACAAATAAAATTTTCTATGACATTAGTTTTTTATAACTTTAACAAATAATTTATATAAAATTACACAATATTAAACGTTTTCTGAAATTATTTGTAAAATATTTTTATAAACACAAAATATCAATTGCCAACAATATAATAACAAAAAGAGAGGTTTCGGATAAGTATTGATATTTGCAAATAATACTGTCAACTATATATATTATTCGAACTTTTTTGTATTTGATTTAACTTTATATTGTATTATATGTACGCGCGTATATTTTAGACCAAGAAGCCACTGTATAGTGATTTTGTTACCCATAGCGACAAAGTATTACCTATATGGGAAATGGATAATCTTTTATTTAATGTAAAATATAAAAAATATATAATATATTTAAGCCTTGTCGCTTGAAGGAGAAGTGGGCTTTTCGAAATGTTGCAGATTTTGTTTTTATTGAAAGTGTCAAGATTGAATGTGTTGCAATATCGATAATAGCCTCATTTCAATTAAGACGGGGGAAACTCCCATATCTCTTAAAAGGATGCAAGGGATCGTCATAAGATCGAAGTGGGAAATTTTTTCTGAAAAAAAAAATAGATAGCGACAATATTACAATTGATAATGTCCATATTTTCTATTAATTCTAGACTTGTCGAATAGTTTTATTCATGAAAATTATCTACAGCTACCTATTTTTTAAATACTCTTTTATTTAAAAAAAATTTATTTGACTTTTTTATACTTTTTTTCATATCAAACATAAAATTGAAAAATATTACAGAAAATAAAAATAATATATAAGATATAAAATTAAATCAGATATACAAATTCAAGTCGAACAGTATTAACAGTTGAGAGTATCGAATATCGATATCTAAAATCTTGCTAGCGTTTGACAATCGATATTCTCGCAATGACGACGCGGACGGACGAAAAGAGAATTTAATCTGTCAAGTGTCAAATGGAGAAGTGTTTTTTCATCATTTCGACCATTAAAGGGATACTTCAGATTTTCAAGCTACAAAAAAGCGAGGAAAAAAGAGAGAGAATTTAACATTTAATTAAACCGCAATCACATATATGCGCGAGATGTATTGGTGGCATATGACACGAGCGATTAAATGATATTTATTACAACGGAAAATAGGTTATGCTCCGTGCATCGGCGATTAAGGCGACGAACTCCGTTGCAAGTCGCGCGTTATTTCGTGGCGTTTTCCTTCGTATAGGAATCAATGGCTCGATCGTCCGTGTCAGCGCAATGTGACTTGGTGGCGTCTTACATGGACGGGGTTCATGTCAAGATCGCAGAAGCCTACAAACCACCGAGGAAGATTGGCCTACCCGTCGCATATAATAATCGATTGCCGGATGTATCGAAGTTAACGTACGATTTCAGCTTGGAAAAATCGGTACTTGAAAAGGTAGGAGGCATAATTGTTTAGCTATCTTAATGTTCAATGTAATGTGTGCCAATAATTTCGTGATTTGGTAATTATCATTAATTAATTAATTTGTAATCAGATGTGTGAATGGCGCAAGGCTAGACAGGCCTACAGCAAGGCACGTCAAGCTCGGCTGAAAGAGAAGAAGAAGAAGGAGAGAGAGGAGACTCCTCCATCGCCTCCACCATTGGATTGCGTGAAGCAACTACCTATCAATGCGCCACCCGCTCCAGAAACGACAATACTCACGCCACAGCCGCTGTCACCTCCAGCAAACGACTTTCAAGATCATGTAAAAATCAATGGGGGTTTGGACTTTGCCGACTTCGATAATGATACGAGCAGTCCCTTCGATAATATGGAATTAAAAACTATCAACGACATGGAAGAATTAGCGCAGGTTAATAAAATGTTTTATTCTCTAAAACTCTTGAAAAGCATTGCAGATGATTCTTGTTGTAACGTTTAATATCTTAAATGTAGGTTTTACAACCTCGGTCGCAATGGGTACCTGCAGGAAAATTGGAAGACATTATAAATGAATTAACGATTGATGATACATCTGAGATTTGCAAGGAGGAAGAAGCCGATACGGAGAGTCAAATGGATGACGAAGCCGACAAAGATACACATAGCATCGAAAATCACCGTAGCGTTTCGACAATAATGCAGGAACTTCAAAAGGAATTAGAACGGCCTGTTATGGAGGTAATACATTTTTTTCTCTATAGCATAAATACAATTGATTCTATTAATCCTTCCTTGCGACAGAATTGGAAGCCATGGCCCGATTTGGAGAGTCCGGACAGCGACACGCATGTAGTCCCAAGGTACGATAACTCAATGTCATCGAATCATGCAAAACCGCTAGCAGACTTGTTATCGGGCATGACGGAGGATGATCTAAAGTTGATCATGCAATTGAATGACATGGGATTTCCCAAATGCAGAGCGGCACGTGCAGTACTGGAACTAGGTAGAGTGCACGAGAAGAAGATCGTGGAGTATCTATTAGCCGTCCAATCCTTAGAAGAGACTGGCGTCCCGAGTGGCTATGCCGAGACAGCGGTGACGCTCGCGCAGCACGATCAATCCAAGGCGAAGATTTATTACGAGAATTTATGCACGTTGAAGGATCTAGGATTTCCCGAAGACGAAGTTTCCACGGCATTAGTAAAGTGTAACTTTGATCGTGACAAGGCGTTAGATCTTCTGATTGCTTAAGTAGACAATTGACTCGCCATCCAGGAAAAAATGTAGAATATTTTTTGTTACGACTCGATGTTAGTGCGAAAAAACATAACGAATCGGAATTTTTATATAATACATGGAAGATACATCGAGTCAACACAAACGTATATTTTAATAAAAAGGAAGATAATGTTATCAGTGAGACTAGTCTTGAATACCTCAAGGAAGTTACATTGAATATGACATTATGTAATAATTTCATTTAATTCATCGTTGTCATGGAACTGGAATTCCTACTGGGCATTATTGAAGAATCCCTCTTGGTAGCCGCAATGCTGCGAAATAAATTACAATTACAATAAGTTAGAGATTTAATTTAAAAACTTATTGAGACACACAAAAAGATTTCAGTTAAGCGCGAAAGAATTCTTTATTTTTCCAACACTTTGTATACAGAAGTGGATTAATTAGATACCTAATTAGGAGGATTCATCAATTGATGAAGTGCCAATGAAGATTAATAGTCGTACTTGAGTGTGCAGCGAATGCAGTGGCGCAACTGCAAATTAAAAAAAATTCACTAACTGATATACTCAGGTACTACATGATTATTTTGTATGTTACCTTCTACTACAACATAAAACGATCGTTATCATGGATTCCGCATAGCGGTTGATACCGATAATAATCCAAGCTTCTGTAAATATCGGTTGCTGGCATTGAGAATTTACACAAATACCAGTAGGTCCGTTTGTTAATAAATTGTACAAACTATAACTCGTAGACAGTGTGAAGTCCAGTTTAGTATTCTTAAGTGGTTTGTAGAGTATTGTTACGTTTGCGGGAGAAACGGAAACGTCAAGCGTGTGCTTATATCTGAAATGTTTACGTTAATCTGCGAGATACTTGTACTTTTGCAAAAGACGATAACGAGTTTCCTGTTTATAAGGTTCCTCAATTACCTTTCGGTATAAACTTTCCTTAGTGCTAATTCCCACAGGGAACAAGTCACGTTTTCGTGAACCTCGTGAATTTTTAGCATTTGCCGTGGTAATTCAATTATAACATCGGCATCTATTTCATGCAGTTTCTTCATTTTTATGTACAATTTTATATTTGTGTTTAGCACATTTGTGTCGTAATGCGTCTTAAAACATCTGTGATTATATATACATATATGCATAGATTGTAAATTTACTTTATATACAGACTTCAAAAGTAAAATAACAACATTATCAAGATTTAGTTTTTATTCACGCTTAATTTATTCCCATTTGACATTCTAACGTGCTTACCCAAATGCCAAATATTCTCTATCGCGAACAACCGTCGTGCGTAGTTGCGAAAGTAATTGAAATAGAAGCGGATACGACACATAATTTAAGTATTCGTTTGCATCGAATCGTATACAGGGAGCCGATAGAAATCCATTCAGTGGCAAATATTTCAACCTGCAAAAATATTTGTTGGAATACAAAACTCGAAATTGTAGCTCGATTAATCTGTGTGAAGTTTAGACTTATATTCATAATCCGTTGTTATTTTAAGAGCGTCTTAAGTAGTCTTAAAATATGTCAAAAGGTTTGCGAATTATCGCCGTGTCGTGATTCATTGTTAATACCAACATTTCGTGAATGTTCCTGTTCACTTCATCAGGGCAAGGAGTGCAATGTCTTAAGATGCTAATACAGCTCTCTGATTGATTCATGATACTTTAAGACTGTATTTAAGACAATCTTAAACATAACAATCTCGACTATGAATACCGGCTGTAATTGGTTTACGACATTTTAAGACTATATTGAAGATGATTTTAAAATTAGAAACAGACTATGAAAATATCAGACTTTTTGTAATTTGATTTAATAATCAGAATATTTATTCGCAAAATATTAATCGAAGTAGCAACCTGTTTGAACACACGGAGATCATAGTAAGCTCAGGAGCTATGGTCAATCTGTTAGGTAATTCCCTCAGGTGATTGTTATCCACATATAGCTCTCGAAGTTTTGGAAGAGAACCTGTCCACTCCGGCAGTGCAACAATCTGATTACCCGAGACAGACAGTATTTCCAGATTATTCAGTTGGCTCAATTCTGTTTTTGTTTCGTTCATGTGAATCAATAAATCTTTTTCCTCTTTGCGCACAACAATCTAATAGTCTTGAACTTACCAACTGGTAATCTCTCTATAAAATTGTCATTCAAGAATAAAGATTTCAGATTGCTTAGATTGCCAATGCAGGCAGATATCAGGTCTAATCTGTTGGCACTTAAATCCAGCACCGTCAACTGACTCATTCCGCCAAGTTCTACAGGCAACTGTTCAATCCGATTGCCATACATGTACAAGTTGGTCACGTTGAACAGCTCTGTGATCCATGGTGGTAGAGTGGTCAGCTTGTTCCACTTCAGATATATCTCCTGAATGTGACTGCCGTGCAGTCTTATTACCTCCGGAAACTCCATGAGACCCCGACAGTTCCAGTGTAGTATAACTTTGTTTTTGACTTCGTTCGCCATCTCTACAGGATCTGGATCCATGTTTGAAACGTAAAATTAATTAGAGTGCCCCGAGAGGCACTGGAGCCAGGGAGTAACTTTTAATATCGAGATAGATGGGAATCGGTCAGTGAATCTGAGACTAGACATCAGCAATGGACGCAGGCCCAAAATAACTCTGTCTGCTCGCTACATCAGCTATATTAAAATAAACGTTCGCGATGGGCAAAATAAGTTTTACAGGGGCGCATGATCGTCGTACTGGAAAGGGAGCAAATTAGTCTGACGTTTTGCTCACCCATGACAAACCGTTATTGTTAGTTGGGACTGCGGAGAGAGTAACAATGTTAATTATCTTAATTCATCTGACGCGTTAAACAAACGAAGCGACTGTAGTAGTATAAGAGTATATACTTTCTCGTGTCTCTCCTGCGGCAGAAAATCCAGTACGGATGCATTTTTTAATTTCGCTTTATCCTTTACTTTCTTCGGTCTTTTGTCATATCTGTTTTATATATGTCAATCCTAATCAATCTCCTACACACGTTATACGCACAGTCAGTGACATACTACTGATTGCTACTGATATGGTGATCAGCTGATACGGTAAGCGTTTGTTATCATAACCATCGATGAGATACTATTAAAGACCGTCGAGCCTGAGCAAATTTTCGTGACTCTCATGCTGGATTTACACTGCATCCGACGTGCGTCGTACGGCGCTCTGCAACCAATCAGAAAACAGGATTCCGATGGATATTGCTTCGTATCATCGGAATCCTGTTTTCTGATTGGTTGCAGAGCGTGGTACGACACAAATCGGATGCAGTGTGAATCCCATTGAGTGAAAGCCATTGGCTGCGTTCAGCAGAGAAAGCAGCTTTGCAAAAATTCTTCAATATGATTAGTCTTGCTCTTAGTTCCTCATTGGATCTAAATGTATAAACCAATCATATTCAAGACTTTTACAACAGTTGCAAAGCTGCTTTTTCTGCTGAACACAGCCAATGGCTACGTTCAGCAGACTTAACAGTTGAGTAAGCGCTCGCTGCTATTGATGTATTCTTCTAGATCTAAAATCTGGTTAGACGATTTAAAAGAATACACCAATAACAGCGAGCGCTCATTCAACTGTTGAGTTTGCTGAACGCAGCCAAAGTTTGGTTCTAAGCAAGCGGACGGAAGTGACTATACAGGGTGATTCAAAATAACCTTTTGTCCTTGGCCGTATTCTGAGACGATTTTTCCTCTACGAAAATTTTATCCGAAGCTTAGTTTTCAAATTACAAGAAGAAATAGTTAGCGTAAGGGTCCGCGCACAAAGATAGTAGCAACTGAGTCGTAGTCGTAAGTCGTTGTCGTAGGTCAACGCACAAGGATTTTACGTATGTCGTTTACGTATATCCAATTGCTAGATTCACACTGCATCCGATTTTCGTCGTACATCTAGCAATTGGATATACGTAAACGACATACGTAAAATCATTGTGCGTTGACCTACGACAATGACTTATGCTGGATTCACATTATGAGAAAACATACATTAGCACCTGAAAATCCTAATAACTATTAAGTAAGTACTATTAATTTTTGTGTATACACGCGCACATTTCATATTTCTTTTAAGTTTGATAGATTTAAGAGTACACGTAGTATATGTCGCTTGTACATGTACGTAGTGTGTTAAATGTCGTCCTAAATATAGCTTTTCTTTAAGTATAAATTTTTTATTTAATTTGTACCATTTTAATTTATTTTGTACTATTTCTTACATTTTTATTTGTTTATTAATTGATTAAATATTTTCACTTAATATTGTTAATTTAGATATTTTTATCAAAATTGAAAAAAGTAATTTTTCTTATTTAAATCTATTCTGTTGAATAAATAATATATTCATATTTTTTAAGATTTTATGTAATATTGTGTGAGGTAATTTACTTTTTTTCTCTAGTAGCTATTATCATTGATAGATTTAAAAAAAAAACAATAACGAGAATGCAGTGGCGTGCTCTCCGAACGTAACCCTTGTGAAACAAATGAAGATATATCTACAAGGTTCTTTTTTTCCTGCGTCTCCATTGTGTGCAGTTTAAATGGTCCAAGTTTTTTGTCCCTCGTGGAAAAACAAATCTTAAAAGCGATTACAAGGCTATTGAAAATTAGTATTCTTATATGAAGGAATTAAAGGAGTCAAGGAGGCTTAGATTAAGCCTACTTACATCTACACGGACAAAAGACTTTTTAAGAAAAAATGCGTAAGTAGATAAATTTCTAAACATTTTATTAAAAGGAAAATAATGTTCTTAAGGTCCGATCAAGATTATTTAAATTTTTTTAATCCATTAACGCCCAAAAATCCCGTTTTTTCAGCTTATTTTCAAACCTCATTCTTATAACTAAAGAGGAGAAATTTCCAAACAAAAACCATGTTTCCTACTAGTTTTAGGTATGCTCTTCAAGAATCCGTGGTCAAAATTGAGTTTGTTTAAAGGAAATTCAATATGGCGCCGGATTTGCAAAGAAGTACCAAAAAATTTGGAATTTTTTTGGGTTAATAGAGTTTCGAGACTCAATCCTAACTATGATCAACGATGATCGGAATAGTTGAAGTTTAAGGAAAAATTTTTTTGCCGATCTCAATTGGCCATAACCTTTTCAAAATGGCGGATTTCCCATATGGCGGATATGAAATTTTGAAAATCTCACAGATTTTCGTAAAACTCTATACTCGGGGGTTTCCGTGGTCGCTGATTACGAATTTGACATTCTATTCTCTGCGTGACCCAGAGACAACGACGTGGACGTGGTAGAATTTTGTCTCCTTCGGGATGCTGATTAGAGTGAGTCCCCTTGCCTCTCACTTTTCGGGGTGCTTGATTAGAGTGAGTCCCCTTGCCTCTCACTGGAATATAAATCCTTTCAATGATTCTTCTTGAAACGTGGATTGCAGAATGGTAATGCACGCTTCTCACAGAAAATTCTGGTTCTGACGGGACAATTTGAACAGACTTTGAGTTGCTTTCGACGAGTCATTTCGTGTATTTCCCATTTCACTTGCCCTCACTTACCCTTTTCTGTGAGAAGTGTGCATTACCATTCTGCAATCGATGTTTCAAGAAGAATTATTGAAAGGATTTATATTCCAGTGAGAGGCAAGAGGACTCACTCTAATCAAGCACTCCGAAGGAGACAAAATTCTACGTCCACGTCGTTGTCTCTGGGTAACGCAGAGAGTAGAATGTCAAATTCGTAATCAGCGACCATGAACACCCCCGAGTACAGAGTTTTACAAAAATCTGTGAGATTTTCAACATTTCATGTCCGCCATATGGGAAATCCGCCATTTTAAAATGGTTATGACCAATTGAGATCGACAAAAAAAATTTTTCCTCAAACTTCAACTATTCCGATCATTGTTGATCATAGTTAGGATTGAGTCTCGAAACTCTATTGACCCAAAAAAAATTACGAAAAAAAAAATTCCAAATTTTTGGGTACTTTTTTGCAAATCCGGCGCCATATAAGATTTCCTATTTAAGCAAACTCAATTTTGACCACGGATTCTTGAAGAGCATACCCAAAACTAGTAGGAAACATAGTTTTTGTTTGGAAATTTCTCCTCCTTAGTTATAAGAATGAGGTTTGAAAATGAGCTGAAAAAATGGGATTTTTGGGCGTTAATGGGTTACATAGAATTATATATATTTTTTGGGAGGGCTCCGATTGCACACATCGCATATTGCACACATGTATCGCTGATTGGCCAATTTAAAAATAAAATAATCTCATTGGCAAAACAGTGAAAAATTACTAAGCACTAGTTGATATGAGTGGTGTGTACAATCAGAACTGTAGGCAAACGGGATCCTCCGTTTACAGAGATGTTTTATACTCAATTCTGACACATATTGACATAAAGTATTAAACATTTTGTAAACTATTAATTTTTTTTATAACCGTACCTTAATATGAATAGAATAATAAAATGAATCAATTGGTGTAAAAAGAAAACACACAGTTGCTTTAAACAAATATGTAGGCAAAATAAATAATTTTTTAAATAAGTAACTATATGCTTTCTTTACACCAATTGACTTATCTCATTATTCTATTCTATTCTGCATATAAAAGTATTAAGGTATGATTAGCAAAAAATTAATAATTTACAAGATATTTAATATTTTATGTCAATATTTGTCAGAATTGAGAACGAAACATCTCGTAAACTATCGATTTATTGGTATCTCTGCCTAATACTTTTATATGCAGAATAATTAGAGGAATCATATTACGTAAAAAAATATATATATAATTCTATTTAAAAAATTTTAGGTAACCTTGATCTGATTTTAAGAACATCTTTTCAAGGTCAGCCAAGGTTACCATCTCCTTTGCCATTAGTAATTGAGCAACTTTTTTCTGAAACATTTTTTCGTATCTTATATTTTTCAAGATATTTTAGTGTATCACTTAAAATGACGCATCCTGTATACAGGATGTCATCAACGGTTGACCCCACATTTCTTGAATAGATAGAATGGACTAAACTGAATCGGAAGTCCTCTACTATTTAGCAATGCTCGCAATAGATAACAAGATATTAACGATTAAAGAAAGCCGAATACGCACATCCAATCTACTATTACCGAAGGTACGGCGCCTTCTATTGCCTCGGCCTTTACTATTGCCGAGGGCTACCCCACACAAAAAATGGGTTGGTTTAGGTTAGTTTTTACAGTAGTAAAGCCCCCCGCGGGGCGGAACCCATTGTATTTACGCATACATTTTACAACGTAGAAATAAGACGTTTAAGACGTTTTTTAAACTTTTTTAAATAACTTTTTAATAAAGAACGAGCGACGGTTTAAACTTGTTGGATATCACTCGGAGTCATGATCTTGACAACATATGTCAAGGTCATCGGAGTGGGGTCCCCTATTATCGATATTTGTCATAATTTCTTTTTTTTTTAATTAAAAATATATATTTTAAATAAATTTAATATGTGTTAAATAAATTTATTGGAAATATATATGACCGAGTCCTAATAATAAAAAATATGTAATATACATCAATAATAATTATTATGTATACATTATTCTTTGCAGGAGAAAAAGATACAAAGTTTTGGCGGTGATTCTTTACAAAAAATGATATCAAATATACTCACGAACTGTCAAACATTTGAAGTAGGACACAAATTATCCTGGACTGGTGCTAAAAATACTATATCAATTTCAAATTCTACTTTCGCTAACAGTATAATTGGTAAGTGTACTCTTGCGATAAAAGATTATATGTACCTTTCAATTTCTTGACATGCCAATTTCTATTTTATACCCTTTAATGTAAATATAAAAATATTTATTAGCAATTATAACGTGTAAGAATTATAATTCAAATGATTTTTTAAATGACTAATATATTCGTCCATATATAAAATAAAATTCGCTTGTTTCCACACACACATACAATTAAAGTTATTTTACTAATGTCAATATGTATATATTATTCATAGGAGTTGTAAGTCATACAAAAGGACCTGATTGCACTATCGCATTAATTGTGAAACATATAAGAAACTGGTTGCAGCATTCT